CCCGGCGGGCGACTCTGTCGCTTTCTCCGCTGCCCTGGGGGTCCCCCAGAGCCGGGCCGCGGCGGGCGGTTGGGAGGAGGCTGCCCCTTTGTCCGCTGACGGGCCGCCCCTGCCGTCGAGATGAAGGACCTGGAGGCCGGGGAGAAGATGAGCAGCGAAGCGCTCTGGCTCTTCAAGCAGCTGAACCTCCACCTGGAGCAGGAGGGGCGGTTTCAGCCCCGCGAGAAGGGGCTCAGCCTCATCGAGTGCGCGGCCGAGGTGAGGAAGGACCTCGGCGCTGGGGGGTAAGGGGGAGGCTGTCTGCCCAGGGCAGGAACCTGTGGAAGGAGAAGCCCGCGTTGGGGGAGGCGGCACCAGGAGGCTCGTTTACCTTTCCAGAGATCTCCGGTTCCTCAGCAGATGCCTCTGGGTCTTTGTCCTCGCTCTGTCACCAAGCTCTTCGTATTTTAATATATTGTATTATCAAACAGCTATGAACTGCGGTCAAATCAATTTACTGCCCATTGTTCACGCCCTGCTTCACACCTACAGCGAAAAGTGTGCGTATTTTGCATTTAGGAAGTTTATTTCAGCTTACTGCAGTGTGGGGAAGTCAGGATATGAAATGGGCGGTTTAACAAAGGGGAAACGGACAGCTTTTGATTAGCAAAGCCCAGGGGCATGAGCCAAGAGGCCTTCAATACTTATCAACCAACCAAAGGGTATAAAAAGTCATGTTAACGACTGAACTTCCTTACAGACTTAAAATGCTCATGAACTTTATTGGATAGGGTGTTCATCTTGGAACAGAAGGAGACACTTTTTTTTAGCTGCCTTGTTATGAAAGCAGAGCCCCTAGTTATCTTAATGTCATATCCAGGCAGGGAGGAAAATAAGCTGGGCTTTTTTTTTTCTTTTTTCCTCTTCTCCCCCGAGGTCAGGAGTTGTTGCGTGCGCACACACTTTGTGCTGACGGGTGCATACTTAGAAATGTGGTTGTGCTGGCAATTGTGCCATTGAGACTCAGAGGACATTCCCTTAATGCACAAAACATTGGGTGTGTTTTGAGTCCCAAGTGCAGAGGTTGTGTTTCCTTAAGTTAAAGCAAGTGCAGTAGAGGGTATGTAAGAAATATTTGTCCTTTGCTCGAGGTAATAGGTAACTTAAATGGGAGTGGGCAGTTAAAGCCACCGCTGGTAAATACTGACTTGACTTTTTGTTTTGCCCTAGAGTGAAAATTCTCTGTGCCCGAGACTAAGGAATGTCAAGGTGGAAGATCTTTGGAGTCTGACCAACTTCTTCGGTTTTGCAACTGAAACTTTTGTTTTGGCTGTTAATATTCTGGACAGATTCCTGGCTCTAATGAAGGTAACACGAACAGAGTACCGGCTGTGTTGTCACTGACTATGCAACCTTCCTGTGAGTCTCCTTGTCAGACACAAAAAGGGGAAGAGGAAGGTGGTGATCTGTAAGATAACGGTGCCTGTTGACTGATTTTTAAGCTAGTAAAATTTTTAAGCTTTTTTTTTATTTTTAAGCTAGATTTTGAAGCTAGCTTCCTGTTAGCTCCTGTGTGAGCTTGGATTGTGTACAGTTCTTTTGCGAAACATTAGCCTGCTGAGAGGGATATATTAAGTACCTCATGCAGTGACTGCTTCTGACCCTTAAAGGCAAGTAGCAGCATGACTCATTTGCCCCAAGAGTTTATGTAGCCTTCACTGGGTGCATGGAGAAGACAGGAGAAATTATGAAAGTAGCAAGTGAATGAACCAAGTACTTTGCTATGGCTTAATTTATAAAGCTGAACTGATACCAAAAGATGATGTCCTAGATACTTGTTTTCTTGTTTTTGTGTTGCGTTATGGCAGGTAATTTCATTCCAAATCTGTTCCCCGTTAAGGTGGCAGGGGAAAAAAAAAGGGGTGTCTTAAATGGAATCAGTTTAGATCTGACTTTTCTTAAGATTTGTTAAGACAAAACATTGCGCTTGTACATGAGAGAACAACAGAGGGGTGGGAGCAAGTGAAGAGGGAAGGACTGGCTAGAACAAGCTTAAGCCAGATCTGCGTAGGCTTTAATTGAGGGTAAATGAGCACTGCCACTTGGAGAAGTGCGGTATTACAGTTCTCGGTGTGTAATTTGCTCTTTATGGATGTGGAATAATTTCAAAAGTGGGTGCTCAGCTGTTGAACTTCAGTGTTTTTTGAAGTTTGGCTATTTGATAAGCACAGCCCATAAGGAAAAGAAGGCTAGTGCCCCTGAAAGGTGGTTTTAAGAACACTGGAACACTGGTTTTACAACAGATTTCTTGGAGATGTTAAACCTCATTCTTTATTTTATTGATGTTTTATTGGTATTCATATTGATATTCATAGCAGTTCTTCTTGCTTTTAGGTGAAACCAAAGCATTTATCTTGCATTGGAGTCTGTTGTTTCCAGCTGGCTGCCCGAGTAGTTGAAGAAGAATGCAATATTCCTTCTGCTCATGAGATCATCCGGATCAGCCAATGTAAATGCACTGTGTCCGACCTGAAACGGATGGAAAAGATAATTTCAGAGAAGTTGCACTTTGAATTTAAAGCTACTACTGCCTTAACCTTCTTGCACTTGTACCATGCTATTGTACTGTGTCATACCTCAGATAGGTGAGCTTGAATCACAAAAAGGGTTTCTGGTATCGTTTGATTAAGAGCCAATTGCTTAGTTTTGCCTTTTTGGCATGTGAATGCTTCTCAATACTAATGGTACTTCTTTCTCTTTGGCATCTTATAGGAAAGAAGTATTGAATCTTGACAAATTGGAAGCACAGTTAAAAGCTTGCAACTGTCGCCTCGTCTTCTCTAAAGCAAAAGTAAGTGAAAATTGCTTTCTTGGGTGACATCTGAGTAGGCTTTGATTCATGTGTTTTAAGTAATGTTTTTTTTGTTCTTCTAGCCATCTGTCTTGGCCTTGTGCCTTCTCACTCTAGAAGTTCAGACTTTGAAATCTGTTGAGATGTTTGAGATTCTTCTGCGTGTTCAAAAGCATTCAAAGGTAAATATTCTATGTGCATTGTGCAGTTGCTGGGACTGATGCAGCTAAGGATGCACCATGTTACATTTAAGGGAACTCTACTGTCAGAGTAAAGCTTCTAGAAATACTGTTTGGCATCAATTGAAATAAGCAATGGAAATAGTCTCTAAGTGTGTCCGGAGCTTTTCTAGCTAATGCAGTTTTGTTGGTAAAGTGCCAAATGGAAATAACTGGTATTTAATTGAAAATGAGGTCAGGTAGTCATTTCTCATTTGCACATCTTGGCAACTGTCCGGAATGCAAAAGGATTATGGTTTAAAAATGGTCTTGAATGTATAAAATTGGAGAAGTCTTGTTTCTTAATGACTACATGCTTCAACAAGTAGCTGATTAACTTGTTCAGTTCTAGCTGCATGTTCTAGAGAAATTTCCAGTCTACTTAATTTCAATGACTAAAATGTCTGCTGGGCTTGTTCTTTTTTTCCCTAGTAACTAGCAGAGAATTTAAAGCTGCTAGCTGCATGTTCTGTCAGGTGTGACAGTCAAAAACCACAGCCTCATTATTGCTGCTGAGTCCAACTCCGCAAACCCCATTTGCAGTCAGGACGCTTCTTTAGGTCAAAGTATTTTTAAGTCATGTCCTTGAAAGTAAAATGGCAGGAGCAGAGTAGCTTTTGAGCCTGTGTGTAATGTAATAAATAGATTTTTGTTTTTTCTTTTCCACTTTAAAGATAAGTGATAGTGACCTGCTTTACTGGAGGGAACTGGTCTCGAAATGCCTAGCAGATTATTCGTCTCCTGAATGTTGCAAGCCAGACCATAAAAAGCTAGTTTGGATTGTTTCAAGACATACAGCCCAGAATCTGCAAAACAGTTACTACAGTGTTCCCGAGTTACCAACGATACCAGAGGGTGGATGCTTCAATGAAAGCGAGAGGTTGGTAAAACTAATCAGGCAGCTGATTGTGGGGAAATTCACATTTTCTGGAAATACTGGGGCAGCTCTTCAAAAACTAGGTTTATTCAGTACTCCTTGAGTCCATTGAAGTTTGCCAAGCTAGAAACATTTCAAGAAAATAGATGCTAAGCAAAAGAAAATTCTGGGAACTGTTTTTGTGGTAGATTAACAAGTATCAAGAGAAATGTTTTGGGGGAGGAGTGTGTTTTTTGTAATTCTGGAAGGGTTATGATGCATTGGAAGCCTGTTAAAGCAACCTGTAGTTGATGTCCTAACCACTGCGTGCTCTTTGGCTGGTAGGAAATTTTTTGGCCCTAGGAAAAAGGGAAACTGTACCTTGTTATAATTTAAGTCCTAGTGGTGAGGAGTGTTTAGATTTGAAGTACTAGGAATCAAAGCTCGCAAAAAAAGGGCAGGGGTGAGGAATACTTTGCCACTTTCAAGGGTTTGTGCTTAGTTTAAAATATCTTTCCTGCTGTTTTTGTTTTTAGTGAAGACTCCTGTGAAGATATGAGCAGTGGAGAAGAAAGCCTTAGCAGTTCCCCTCCAAGTGATCTGGAAGGCACCTTCTTCTTCGACCTCAAACCTAAAGCGAAGTGGCAAACACTTAACTCCGAGTCTTAGGATTAATACTTGGTAGTTCTAGGTTAAGAATTTGAACGCATCATAATATTTTGGCAATAATAAATGGGGAGGTAATTCTTTATATACTGTCTGTATTAAGGCAAGAGTTGCCATGATTTATCCAAATGTTTAGAATGCCTGCCTTGTGGTGTTCTGACCTTCTGAAGAGAAAACTTCCCTTCAGGTCCCAGCTCAGCAAAAAGCTTCCTGTGTAGTAGTGCTGTCAACAAGGACAAATGCTCCAGAGTCCTGCACATTGCAGTTTGGGGAACAAGGTCAAATGTGTATTGCTCTTGGGTTCCTCATGCTCAGCTGCTAAATGGAAGTTGGCACCATGTCTCCATAGCAGTTAAGGCTGACAGGCTATTGGGTTGTATTAGCAAGAGACTAGCCAGTAATTTGAGTGAAGCAGGGTTCTTTTCCCTTTTATTTGGTATTTGTTACGTCTCCTCGGGAGTTCTGTGCAGCTTTGGGCGTGCAGGATAGAAAAAAGATATTGATCAACTTGAGCAAGTCCAAGAGGGATCTTCTAAGGAATTTGAGGGACAATGACCTGTTAGGAGGGACCTGGGTTTGTTCAGCCTGGCAAAGAAGGGCCTTAGGGTGGGGGTAGTGGCAGGGTGTTACTGAGTAACAGCTGTTCAGTGTCTAAGAGGAGGTTATTAAAGATGAATCCCAAGCTCTTGAGAGAGGTGAGTGATGCTAGTGTGAGAGAAAGTGCTTGTAAATTGAAATGGGAGGTTCCCAGTTAAGGGAAGAAATTCTGTGGAAACGGTTGCGCCTTGGAATAGGGGCCCAGAGGGGGGATGTGCATTCCCTATCCTGGGAGGTTGTCAGTCCTTGATTTGAGAAAACTCTGGGCTTAGGATTGACCCTGCTTTGAGGGTTGGACTAGAGACCTCCTAAGGTCCCCTCCACCATCAAAGATTCCTTGCTCTTGACTTGGGTGAGTGAGTAGTATGGGGATGATGAGCATACACAGAAGTACAGTGCTAAAGTGATGCTTTACTGTCAAACGGGCCTTTCTTAAATACCAAAACTGCTTTTACACTTGTTTTTATGCTGTGCTAATTTTGGGAAGGAGTGTCTTAGCTGGTCTTGTTTTGTATTCTAAGGGCATTTTTAAAAGCTTATTTTTTTCATAAACTTCAGGAATCCCTGTTTTTGAGTATGAATATTCCTAGTAAGAGTATAGACCTGGTAAGAATGGAGGTTTTCATGTTTTTCAATGGTAGTCGCTTCCTTAAAAAGGGTACTGTCAAGTGTGTGATAGGGCTTAATTTCATATTTTCTTTCAGCTAATGAAAACTAGCTTACACTGAAAATGAAGCTTATACTTTGCTTTGTATACTTCAGTGGGTTTAAATTCTTAGTGTTCACATGTCAATCCACTCTATTAGAATAGGCTTATTAACATGAAATTTTGGTAAGTCTACATTCCTTTTAATATTTAACCGCTGTAGCTGATTTGAGTATCTTCATGTTATTGAGTCATAATCAGACTTGTTTGCATGCTTATGTAAAGCAGTTAGTGCAGGAAAAGTTGATATTATGCAGTAATATCAGGTAAATGTGATGTTGATGAAGTAGTTGATGTAATGTTTTTTTCTGACCTTTTTATTGAAGCACACGAACTTGAGTATGATTGTGTTTCTCCATATTGAAAATATGGCTAGGTAGCAAGTGAAGAAATTCACTGAGTATAAAGGTGTGAAGTGTGTGGTGCCAAAGTAGAAATGAAGGGGCTGACAAGTTAATAGTGTTTTTTGTAGATGTGAGCATTGTCTAGAAGGGAATGAGCAGTGCCATATGTTTGTAACTGTTACATGCTTTCAGTTTTATAAAATGAAAAAGTTTACAAAAATGTATATAAAAATGTAAATTAAAAAATGTACAGAAAAAAATTTAAAACAAAAAATGAGCAGAAAATACTGTATTTTTTTACGTTTATGTAACTTTTTGTAGTTATGTTGCATGTAGATATTAATTTATTGTGTACTCTAATATTGTACACTTGAGAACTTACTACAAATTTCTGCACCTGGAAACTCGCTTCTGAAACAGAGTACCCTTGTTAGAGGTAATGAACATACTGAGTTTTGTTTCGGTTGAGAATGACAATAAAGCGGTTGCTGTATTTGTTAACTGGTGTGAGGTCAGGCTGGTTCCTTAAAGCGCTGGCTGCTTCTCTTGGCTGTGGTCTGGATGGTACAAGAGCTGTTTTTCAGGTTTGCCGACAAGTTTTGGTGAATGGACTGCAAAGACAGTTTGTGCGTGGCTTTCTGCTGAAGGTGAATCTTGGCTTTTTTCACTCGTATGGATTCTGGAGGGTGGTGTGAGCTGTTCTGTGCTTATCAGCTGCACACAGCTGCAGCTGAGCTCTGCTCCTGCGCTGTGAATGAGGATTTGGGTTGATGCGTATGCACATGGGACAGAGTGAAGCTCTCATGAGTGCTTAAATTCCTGGAGAAACATTTGGGGCTAGGGGTGGACTGCTGTTGGTGTGTGCATTGGGGCTGGGAATGAACAGTGACAGTGAGAGGGCTGTCACTGACAGTGAGTATGGGTGACAAGAAAAATAGCTCTGAGTTCAGTAACTTAAACTCTTCATGACTTCATGATACTTTTATTTTTAAGTGCATGCACACATTTCCAGGCTTCCCACTTGCCACAGAGAACAGGGGAGGCACTGACACCTGATGCTTAAGCAAAACTTCACTCATGTCTCCCAGGTACATACACACCAGTAAAAGTCAATTATGTAACAGTTCTGTCCATGTGTTAACTGCTCATGGTGATGTTTCAGTGCAATGTCTCTGCTCTCTGTTGTGATCACTTGGAACATGAAAGCTGTTGCAGCAAAGCTCTTGAGTTCCTGCCTTGAAGGTACCCCTGCAAGTCACTTGACTACAGCACCCACCTTGCTCAGGAGTCAGCAGATAGTACATACACTGTGTAGATGACTTGCCATAAAGGCAGGAAGCCTCAAGAGACGTCCTTAAGTAACAGCTGGTGAGATTAGCTTGTTTAACAAAGCTTGAGGTGAAGAATTTGGCTGCCTTTGAGTTGCTCCCACCATGAAAACAAATTTACTTGCGAGAACAGTGTCAGATTAGTTGAGTGGTTTGATGGTTTAGACTCCACTTTGATTTTTGACAGGTTAGATTGGTGTGTCTCTCAGAAGGTGCTTGTTTTGCGATGCTCAGAGGATGGGGCTTGTGGTGGATTGTTAAAAGCAGAGCTCTGCATGCTTTTCAAATGCTGATCTGGGCTTGCTTGCAGCAGGTGAAGAAGCTTGGCATGTTTGTGGTCTCAGGAGTGGAGGTGTATGCTCATTCTCACATCTGTCCTGTCAGCAAGACTGGTTTGGATTGAAGCGGAGGGCTGTGGAAGAATATTTCCGCAGGCGTGTAGGGTGGGTAGTTCAGGAGCACGGCCTGTCTCATGCTGGATGCTGGTGTCCAAGCTCCGGTGTCTGAGCAGACCTGCAGATGTTGTCATGCTGCTCACCCTCCAGATGTGCTGTCCTGGCCACCAAGCATCCATAGCAGAGCCACCTCTGTTCCAGTGAGCGGTCAGGCCATGCTTAAGCAGCAATCAGCAACCTCCAAACAAGAAACATGAGTTCACCACCCAATGATTATGCAACAGCTCAGGTGGAACAAAAACAACTTCCCATGTAGATGACTCGCTGTGTGGATTGGGGCCTGTGTGGAGGCCTCAATCTTCAACCTCTCCCCATTTGTGTAGGGAGTTAAGTCCATACTGTGCTTCTATAGGTCAGTCTTTAGAGCAGGCTCTCTGTCTCCCTGGAGAGAGAGAGGCTGCACCAGGCAGTAAAGGTGCTGCTGCCTGAGATTTTTCTGGATAGGACAGAAAAATAAGAGTGCATAAGTATAGCTGAGCAAAGCCCACGCTGGCTGTTTTTGTTTAGCTTACCTGAATGCTTTCTACACAACAGCAGGCCTTGACTTCAGGTCTCTGACAGGTTTCAAGTTTTTGCTCTGAATCCCTCTTGTCTACAAGATATTTGGAAAAAGACTCAGAGAAAAGCTGATGTCTAGCATAACAACCTGACAAAATTGCTTAACTAGCTGACTTGCCACAAAACAGTCAAACTGTTGATGCTCAAGGAGAGAGCAAAGTAGCAAAAACTGAGAAGAGCTGTTGGTAGAAATAAGCGTGCAAATTATCAGTTGGGATAGCTAAGAGAAGCTGTGGAATTTATGAGCAAATAATAATAAAACACTGGTCTGGAAGGTGCTAGACAGCCCTAAGTGTGTTCTGAGCCTGCTGTGCATTGTATGAGCAGATAATCACTGTTTATCTTGGAGTAGGTGTCGTAGCTGTGCTGCGCCCTGGCCTTCTGTGGAGGCCTCCAAGAGTCTAGTGCAAGGAGTTTGCTAAAGGGGGTAAGTTGCCATAACAACTGAATGAAATCAATTAGAGTAATAAGCAATTAAAATCTCATCCTTAGTGTTGCATAAACATAGCATTTTGCTCATGAATTATTAGTAATCTTCCCTCTAGACCTGTATGTTCTGTTCCTGATTTGCAATCTCAACAGTTTTTGAATTAATTAAACATTTCATTTCTCTTTCAAAGAGTGCTGGTTGATTATTTTGGCTGCAGCTAGTACATCTTCATCAGAGAGATGTAAACACTATTAAAACATCTACATGAAGGAAGCATTCCTGATGGGATTTCCAAAGTACTCGGCAGTGGCTTCATTCCCACCCTGTGAAGTCAATGTGAGAAGAACTGGCCTCTGATGAGAAATCTTGTCCTGGACCTAGAAGGGCAAATTGAACTGCTTTGTCTCATGCTTCTTCCTTGACCTTCTGTGAGTTGCTGGATCTCTCTGCCTTTGTTCTCCCTCAGGAAAGCAAAGATAAGAACAGCTCCTGACTGTGTCTCACGGATGTCAAGAGTAAATAAGCAGGAAACAGGCAACTTACGTAGCTGTCCTGGGAAGATGGGGTACATGAGGAAGGATCCATGAGAAAGCAGATATCGCTGATTTTTGGTGGCAGTGCAAGTAGTCTATGTATTTCTTCACATTGATGCTTTCAGGTGCTCTGATGTAAAGATGTTTCAGGATGGGGATTCAACTCTTAAGTTGCTTTTACTTGTAAGACAGAATCTGTTTAATGGCCAGTTTTGGTAGTCTCTGATGTTTGCTCAGTTTCTG